CTGCTCCCTTTAAGATGACTCAGCTCAGATAATCATCCAAGCTATAAAGCAAAGAACAGCTGCCCCTTGTCCTTTGCTGTAGCAGCTAGATTATAGTACTTGGCACTTCCCAACATTTCTTATGGTTGCAGTACAAGAATAATAGCATACCATCATTACTTCTAAATGATGATCTGAGACAATCCTTTGGGCACCAATTGAACACCTTGTATCCCAGCATGCAGTTTCAAAAGGGGACAAGATAAATGACTGATGAAAAATCAGCTGTCCTCTCTATACATCTTATGATCACTTCACTGCTTCTGTCAGTTGCTCTGTTGCTAAGAGTTGAATGAAGAATAGTTGGGGTTTTTTTTTAGCCAAAGTATTAATAACTTTCCCCTCCATTGTATGGCAGGAACCCACTTAAATGACAATAAAACATCACCGACAAGGAAAAACACATCCCCTTAATGACCCAAGTCCCTAAATGAAAATGGCATAGAGCTTTGTCCATAACTCTTGCTGAGTATTTAATCTAATCTCCTTCAAATGTTGCTCAAAAGATGTTTAGTGCTGCTGAGGATGCCTTTTCCCCAGTAAGGCATCTGTGAGGGTCCTTTTATTGAGAGAAAATAGAGCAGTCAATACTGCTAATGGTTCTGCAGAAAGACATTGGTGTGTTTTTATCTAGAAGAAGCTACTGAAAATGATATAGCTACTGACACCTATTGTGATAAATGGAATTTAATATTGGCTCAAGATGAAAAGCTATAATAGAGTGAAAAGGAATTGCCTGAACACAGCCCCATGCTACAGTGTCATTTAAGATACCCTAACATTTTTGACAGGAGTTGACTGATTAGGTGGTGTATTTATGTCTGTAAAATTATATACATAATGTAACACAGCAAAAAAACACTGCTGTAGTTCGTTCATTCTTCTACCTGTCCTGCCTCCATGCCAAATGTTTTTGCTTTGAGCTTTGTTTAATAAATAAGCTCTGCATGAAAACTCTATGAAGTAATCGAACATTGGGATTAGAGGTGGAACGTTTTTGAAGATTTTCACAGTAGATGTCCTTCTGCAGCACTTGGAATCAGAGGCAAAATTCCCACTGATCTCAATGATAAAAGATCAGGACCTAGGGCAACACGCATTGTAGAGAAGATATTCTCCTAGTTGTTAGCAACTGAAGTAGTTATAGCCACTGGGAAAAGCATCCAGTCATTGAGCATCTAGAGGTGTAACTAAATGGTGCAGTCAAGATAAACACATCTAGGGCTGGGTCTTGAATTGAACATAAATTGAGTACCATAGCAAGAGATAAATAAGTGATTATCATCACTATGTTATTTACTGGATGAACTAATTTAATATTTCCTTCCTTTTTATACAATACCAGTAATCATGTCAGTTTTCTCAAATTTACTTCATAGTCACATTAACCTGACACATATTTTCATGATTTTTCTTTTTAAGCTCTCAGTTGTATCTTATACACGTGATCCAAGTTGGATATGATTTTTTTTTATATAAAGCCTAGAAATGCTTTGCTTTTATAACCATTTCTCATACAAAACATATGCACTTATTTTATAATCTTGGAGAGCTTGAAAAACACCTGCTACGATGTAACCTTAGGGCAAAAAAGAATATCCTCCTTTAAGCAAGAGAAAAAAAAAAGCATGATAAAGATATTGGAGAATTTTCCTCTGGGCCACATGCCAATTTAAAAACGTATCTGCAGCAGCAACTGTAAAAAACAACAGCAACAACAACAAAAAAACCCACCACAATACAAAAGGTACAAGCTGATCCCCACTACTGCTATTTCCTTTAAAGTATTTGGCATTTATGCTGTATCAGTAGATGACTAAGTGAAGAATTAACCCAAAGAATTGGATAACCTATACGGATAACCCCTGTGGAAAGCAGATAACTGTAATAGAATGCATGTGAAGCACAAACAAAAAGGCATAACTGGTCTGATGTGCAGTCAGACATCATTAGCTTGGGAAATATAGACTTTTTTTCTATGGATACTTTCCATATACTGTTCTACCTTATTTTTTTTTTTCTACTTTTTCTTTTCCCACTCTCTGTTTTTCTCTTGTACTTCTTTCTATTTAGAAAACAAGCCCTCCATCTTCACTCGCTCTCTTCCAATGGTAGGTTTTCTTTCACATTACTGCAGCTACAATTCATAATCTGCAATACCTGAAACATTTCTGTACTAAACAGCAAATATCCCTGTAAACTGAGCTTCCAAAGGGGGAGTTCTGACTGAAGCCTACTGTGCCAAAATGCAGTTTCTCTTTATCAGATCTCCCACTGCCTTATCCCCAGATTTACAACAGCTAATCAGATGTTCAGACACTCACATTCAGAGAAATTCCACCTTCCACAGCAACCTAACAATAATCAAAATTCAGTCTTGGATGAGTTGTTTTACAGTGAGTTGTACTATTAAAATCCCTGCATACCAGAAGAGGCCAATTCTACTAAGACTGTTGAGCCTTGCAGGCAACCTCTGCTTCTCTTTCTATAAACATCATCAAAGCTTGAGCTAATTAATTACAGGCTGATGAATTTTAGTGCTTCAAGATATATGCACCAAACGCAAAGAGTCCTAAATCTCCCAGTAAGGAAATTAAACTTTTGACTTCATTTTTGAGCTAGATCTCTAAAGAAGCACACTGAAACATTCACGATGCCAGCATTTCTGTGAAGTTTCAGGAAACACACTGGTTGTTTTTTTCCTTTTTCCCTGGAGATACTATTCAGCATCTTCTTAACACAAGTCTTGACACTCGGAATGGCTCTGGCCATACTTGTGACCAGATAGTTCAGCTCACACCACTTTTGCTGTCTGGAAGACTAATAGGTGTGAGGCTTTTGTTGTCACAGTGAGGATAGGTGGCTGAAGGCAGCAAGTCCCTTCAACACATATTAACCTTGCAGTTGCTGGGGATGGGACACAGCATTCAGTATAGCCGTGTGGAATGCAGACTGAGAGAAATCAAAAGAAGCCATATTTCTCATGGGAAGCATAGCTGCCTCTAGCCAAACATGCTGTTCAAAACTTAGAGGTGAGGAAATATCCAGAAAGGTGTAAAGATTGTATGCATCATCTGAGATACATTAACATACTCAAAAACTCCTCTGTGGCTTCGCATTAAATTTCCTTTCTTGGTGCTACTTTTATCCATTTCATCTGTAAGTTCAGCCCAGAATGTACATTTATGAGTTTTCTCTCTCGCAGTTCAGTGACAAAACTCCTGTGAGTTTCAAAGGTACTGAAAGTAAAGACAAAAAGCAAAGCAAAAGAAAAAAACAACCTCAGTTTAAAAGAAAAATATGCTCAAGGAGAAATTTATTTCTCCTGTCTCTGGCCTGATCTCTCTTCAATGTCATGTCATGCAACGAACAGAGAGTATACGGGGGAGTCTTCTGCTTTGAAAAAGAACCTAATTGGGCTGTGGAAAGGAAATATTTGAGACATCCCTGTCATCGTACAGGAAGCAGGATGCAAATACCATAGCAAAAATAATATATGGGAGAACTTCAGTGTCTGGGATAATGTTCCTAGTCTCTGTTAGCAGGCATCTTGTTACAAATACTTGAAAGATTTTAATGATGGACTTAGTACAGAATATGCTATTACCCTTCATAATACATTGGCATTACATTTATACTTGGAGAATCCAAACAAGACTGAGACCAGCTGTGTTAGCCAACCTGTATATCCAGTAAGATAAATATTTCATAATTCAACCTGTATAAATAAGAGAAACAGAGTTAATATTGTTCTACGGGCAGTGATCTGAAACTCAAAGAGTTTAAGTCATCGAGACAGCATAGGAAAGGGCTGAGACCTACATCCGTTTCTCCTAAGCTGCAGTCCCTATTTTACCCGTGAGTCTGTTTGCCTCCTCAGTACCTCACTGAACATCAGATGGAGGCAGTTGATATCAATAACTTTTTAGCATCATATAAATATAGATTGCATTGCTGAGAACTGGGCTGAAAGAGAGTTGAAATTGGCCTTAATGTTCTATAATATACTATCCAATTATTGTGCCAAAGAAACTAAGCTAAGTGGCTGCTTTAAGTTTAATTTATAATATTAAATCACAAATGCCATCCTATACAAATGACTGTACGCAGACGAATGAATCACATTACAACAGACAAGATGTATATGAAATCTGTGAATTTGCAAGCAGACACATTAATTATGTCTGAATTATTGGCAGTCTTTTCCCATCCTCAGTACCTCTACTCAAATGAAAAAATATTATTAACCTTTGGTGCAACAGATGCACATAAAATATGATGTTTCAACATCACATTGAAGTATCTAACCATCACAGTTTTAAGAGAAGCAAATTTATTTTGGGCATTGGATTAGTATGTCAGCTTGGTATGGGAAATCAACAACTTCTGCAAGTTGTAGAACTACCTGACATCATAAAAGCTTCAATTATTGTACTATCAATTTTTAACTGAATGTTCCATAAAGGAGGTGCTGAGCTGAAATATGCAACAAAATATTCTCATTTATAAATACATATTTTGCCTCAAAGATCTAAGGAATCCACTGAGCAGTGGTAGGTGCACAAATAAAATGTAGAGTTTTGTCATGTAAAACTTGGATGAGAAGTTGGTCTACAGAATGATTTCATGTAGCCTGCTATCTTTTAGCTGTGGTCTCATAGTTGCCGAAGGATGGCTGTTGAAGATGTAACGTTAAGCCCTTCTGCATCAAGCTCTCTTCCTGTGGACTGGTAACTTCCACAGGCGAGCCTTCATGGAGCCACGTGGAGACAGGGCCTGAGAAGGCACAGGGAGGTGTCCTTACAGTGACCACTCTGAATTTTGAAGAACCTGTTTTATTACAGATGTCTGCTTTTGAATTCTTTCTCCTTTACCTGCCCTGTGTTCATTTGTTTGCTGATTATTTTCTTTTCCTCTTCCTAGATGTCCTAAATATTTCTTATTTTCTTTTGTTATTGCAGATCTCTTACCTACTTTGCTTTCAACCTGACTGTTAAATCCCAGTGGGAGGAGGGAAGAAAAGGAAAATGAATGCTGTCAGCCTTCAGCTTCTGCAATGGTGAGTTTACCTAGGTGAGAGGAATTGCAAAGGGTATTTTCCATGTCCTGCTTTACCCTCAGACTAGGTGACTACAGTTCTGATGATACTAGAGATTCCGTTTTTTTGCCTTGGTAGCAAGGAGAATTAAAGGATTTCATTCCTATAAAGCCTTGAATGTAAGATGCTGACAGAGTTGCAAAAAACAATTATCATTATGTAATTCAACTTTGAGCAGAAATCTGATAGATTTGTCTGTATTTTCAGTCCTTATGTTGTACATTCTAGAGTTTCAAATATTTCAAAGTCAGATATTTCAGTCCTGGAGCATTCTGCTAATGCCCAAAGTTGTGCAACAAAAGGCAGTACATACTTTTTCCAATATATATTTTAATTTTCTTGAAGATGTGGATGATTCTTCTGTTACATTTGATGCAGTAGCCGTATTCTAACTGGCTCAATACTCTATCTGTTGACATGACATTGCATGTTTTCAGAGCGTCATACAGTTATTCTAGGCATCTTAAGTTGTTCTTACATGCTCTTCTGATGCTTATCTGTACCTCTTTGCCATCAGATTAGTAAGAAAAGGGTCAGCAGTACGTATAGTCTTATATTCTGTATTTATTTTCAGGGATTTTGAGTGGTTAGGGAAAAAAAAAAGTCTTCATGCTCGTAATAGCTATTTTTTCATCACAGAGGGGTGATGATAGGAAACTTGCAATGTTGGCCTCTTTTTATGAAAACCCATACTTTTATTTATCTAAAGTGTTTTTTGCAAACCTATAATTTTATTCAGCTCCAGTATTGTATTCAGTTGTCTGAAAATGAACATTCCTTCACTTACAGTTTCAGGAGAGAGATTATTTGAACGAGCAAGGGCTGTGGAAATGCCATTTGTTTGTACTTTAAGTTCTCAGAAATTATTCAGAAGCAGAGAAAGTGCAGACTCCTAATGCATTAGATGAAACTGAGTCACCTTCTTTTGAGGAGAAAGGCTGCTGCAGATGTGGTATGTGCTTAGAATTCGCATGCAAGAACTGAATTAATCCTCTAGCAGTAATGTCCCATTTCACAATTACCAAGCAGTTATAAGTGAAGCAGCCAAGGGACTAAGGTATTATTCATTTCGATTGCCTAATACTGCAAAGAAAGTTACCTCATCTCTCAGATAGGTGCTTACAGCTATCATAACCCAAAAGATTGGAGATATTAGAAAGTGAATAGAAAAATCTGTTTTGGTGAGAAACATACATGCTAGCAAAAAATATAAATTTACCATATAGTATTGCAAATGACATTAATATTTTAGTCTGTTGATATTTTTGGTATAAGACCCCTAAAAAAAAGGACAGAGTGAACTTAAAAATTCAGTGCTGCTCTCTCCTTTTGTGTAATTGATATTGTTATTACAATATTTGAGTTGCTGGATCAAAATCAAATTCCACTTCAATTGTATGGTTGTCAATCTGGAATCACTCAATTGAGAAAGTGGAATAGATTCCATGATCAGAAAAAATTGTTATTACTATCTAACTTGATTTCTTACGAAATACAAACTATCCTCCAGAAATTCCCATTGAAAGCTCTTTTTTTTCTTTCTTTCTTTTTTTTTTTTTAAACTGAAAATGCAGCAAATCTTCAGAAAGACAATTTGATTTAAAGAGTGCAAGTGATGGAGAATTGGCCACACTCCTAAGTAAATTATTGCAGTGCTTAAATATCCTCTCTGTTAAGATACCTGAAGATATGTCTGCAGAGACATGGGATTTGCCATGGAAAAATAATAAATTTCATTTGGAACAGGCTGAGAAGCAGGTAAAAGCTGAACTGTTCCAGGTATACAGGGTGGATCAGCAGTCTCTACTTTGCAATTTGTCATACATTCTAAGAGACAGTATAAAGGCTATGTTTTATAGGCTCCTGATTCTAGTAATTCATGGCTATGTCAAAACTTCTATCTCAAAATTGTTATTCACTCTCATACTTGCAAAGGAGGCTCTAAAAACAGAAACAGAGGCTGGCTACAGTGCTACTACTGTTTGAGTTTACCGACAGTGAGAAATAGTACAGTGGAAATACTGAGATTGCTATCAGTTTTGGTCTGTGGGCATTTGGTTTTCCATCTTCCATCTTCCCCTTGTTATGAAGCAGAACTCCCCAAATGTCACTCTCTGGTAAGCCTGAAGGTAGTGTAGGAGGGAAGTATGGCGTCTGTGCTGCAAGCATGGTTGTTGTTTATTCCTGCGCTCCTTCTCTAGGACCTCTAATGCTCCTTTCTGTCTCTCATTTCTTCTAACATTTCCCATGTGAAGGAGGAACATTTTGTTTCCATTCCTCTCCCACAGAACATTTTACCTCCTGAGTAATCAGCAAATTAATCAGTGAAAGAGCTCACACTGTGCTTTGAAGTGTCCTGTTGGGTACACTGGATTAATGAGGCAGCTGAGATGAGTGTCAGCCCATCAGGTGCAGCTTCAGACAAGGTCCTGTGAAACTTGTTTCAAGTGAAGGGGTAAGGGTGAGAGGAGGCATGTAAAAATAATTGTGTGATCACAAGGGGCAAGGCTTCCATTACAACAGAAAGCAAATTCATACTACACAGAGCCTGTGCTCTGGCACAAAGCCATCTAGCATACGCCTTGGTTTTAGTCTACCACCCTGCTAGTTGGCACCAAGCCCTGGATGGAGCACTCTTAACAACCATTCCAGTAGTGGTGAAATGATGCCATTACTGGTCGAGAACGTGGCCATCACTCTATACCATGAGCACTGGCTTTCTCTGCTTTCTGTCCTAGTGGCTGTTACTTAAAAACAGCTGATTCCCATGTAAGAAAAATGATACTTTTTTCTTTTCTTTTCTTTTTTTAATCCATACAATAACAATAGAAATAACATCACAAACAAGATGAGATAATACATCACTGCTGATGTTTCAAGTTAATGTTGCTTTCTATCCATCTGTGGAACTTGATGTCTATAGTCTTAGTTCAAATCTCCAAACACCTTGGTATATTACATAATAAAATACTGCTTTTCAGTCTTTCTATGTGTTAGTGTTGGTTATGAAAAGCTGTTCACTGGGAGAAGTCAGAGACAGAAACAAGGAGCTGTCTGCCTTTGTGGCCAGCTGAACCACCGAAGTAGCCCTAAATGCAATCCTAACCCATTCTTCAGTCAGATGGTATAAGTGTAGGGTTTCCATCTCTGTGGAGAGCTGACGTCTTTCCCATGTGAAACCAAAACCTGGTCAGTCATCAGTCATCACCAGAATGGATTTCTGGTGAAAGGCCCTTCGTTTGCCAGTTTCAGAGACAAGTAAATGGAGGAACAGAAATAATTGTCCTGCATTTTTCCTGGATTTGTTGCCACAAACAGTGCTGCCACGTGCTTAGACTGCAGGAGCTGTTGAGGAGGTAGCCAAGAAAATGCCATAACAAGGGCAAAATGACTTACACTGCAATGTAGTATTATAATGTAATAGCACCTTTATTTTTATTTATTCTTAATTTTGTCCTGATAAATCTAAGAAGGATTACTTTGGAAAAATGGCGAAAGAAAGCCTAAAAGGTGTGGGGAAATTATAGTTTCGTAGTTCTCAAGCAGGGTTCTGAAGCCTGTCAACAAGACAGGAAATTAATAGTTTTGAGCCTGTGTCAGCTTTGTTTCACAATATAATTTGGACTGACTGAAATAGCTGTTCCTCGGTAGCACATATGTTCTCATTTAGCTGGCCTTCAAACAATGCAGCCACTACCCTTCTACCAGTTCTTATGGATGAACTCGATGACTAATTTTGGTACTGTTCAGGATGACGTGCAATAAGCTGCTCATCCGATAAGCCACGGACACATCACTGGAGCTGACTGACGCTAATTTCAGAAGGAATTCAGATTTTGGAATTTCTCATCCCCTCCCACAAATCCTCAGCTGAGAAGGCAAGATCAGGACATATACTTAAAAGCCCAGAGAATGGCCTGATGTCAGACACAACAACGGATACGGTGCCCAGAAGTGTAGGAGTTGCAAGGCTGATTTATGACCATACTAGGGGAGAGAGTATTCCAAAAGGCCTCCTGCCATTTCCTCCTAACGCAATGGCTATGAAGAGCGGCCGTGCAGCCAGAGAGGGGTCAGCAGAACACCATTACATAAGGCTGCTTGCTATGCTGAAAAACGCAGATGGCCCAAAAGTGTTTCATTTCTTTAAATGAAGTCACATGCGGGAGAAAAGCTGTTTGAGGCAGACGAGGAGGTCTGTGAAGAGCAAATGCAGCAAGGGTTGTTTTGTCCTTGTTTTAATTGAAAATAAGTTTGGAATCTACCCAGGAAGTAAGTTTTGAAGGAAATAGTTGGCTCATTCACAGTCCAAGCGATGTAGAATCACCTCCCAGTATTTGTGTTTCATCTTTAAGCACTTTGCAGACTTATTTGGATACTTATACAGATAGCAATCTGGAGGAAACTAGTTCTAAGTTCGAATGGGATCATCTGCTTGGACTGAATTCCACACAGTGCAGCAAAATGGGCCCAGCACTTCTTTGCTTCTCGGTAATATTCCTTCACCACCATCCAGTACAAAATGCACCACTGCTTCTCCTTTTCATCACACATAATTCTACTACGCATTAACCCAGAAATACATTTTATTCTTATTAGATGGCTATAAAATGGCAAGTCTCAGTACTGAAATAGGAACCAGTGCTATACAGATTTATACAATGAAATTTCAACTCAGTGATCTTTTTAAATTTTTTTTTACGTTTGTTAAAATTCAAAACTCTCACTTATTTCATCCCTAAGAATGAAGGCCTGGGATTTCCTGACTTAGAGTGGCCTTTTTTTCTCTTTTTAATTAAATTCATTATTGTTTATAAGACGCTTTTGCTTTAAAAATATTTAGTAACAAAATGAAACAAAGCTGAAAGAAATGTTACTATATAGCTACAGTCCGAATGTTAAGGTTAAAGTCTTATTTCAGGCACAGATGTACAAGGAATAACGTTTCAACAAGATAATTT